TTTGGGTTTAGAGAGAGAGAGATAGAAGTGGAGGCCACTGTTTTTTTTTAAGTTTTAAGCTTCTCAAGTCCCTGAAGTGTTGTCCCTCTTAATCAAGCTGGTTAAGTGAGGCTTAAACTTCACGGGACTTCAAGTCTCATGAAGTTGTTTAAGTTTTTTCGCCAAACTCAATCCAGTTTCAGCCAGTTGGCTGAAACTGAGTCGAAATTGGCAATTATTTTAAAAGTAGATCGTTTTTAAAAATAAGTTTCTAAATAGGTCTAAAACGGAAAATTGTCCTTCTATTATAAATAGGTTGCGAAGTATTTTATGGCGTGGGTTTGGGTTATAAAAAGTCAAAGCAAAAGAAGTACACTAATTTCATATAAGTTTTTAAACCAAATTTAATATTTTCCCCATTTATTTTCAAAATACAATTCCGGAAGATGTATTAGTTGAAATTTGTCATATTGTCGGTTGCATGTGTGTTGCACGTAGACTTACTTGTTTTATATTTTGAATTTTCTTTAGAAGCAGAAAAATAAATAATATTATAATTTATTGACAGAATAATGAAAAAGCTTTTTAGATTATAAATAATGAAATAGTTTTTTTAATGTTAAAATCAAAGTTTGTTGTATAATTTGAAAAGTTTGGTTGCGGATGTAATTATAGAAAGCTTTGGGGAGTTATATGTGACATGTTATATAATTTATTGAAAAGTTTAATTTTAGATGTAAATATAGAGAATTTCAGGCCTATTAGCTAAGAGTTTGTTGTATAATTTGAAAAGTTTGGTTGCGGATGTAATTATAGAAAGCTTTGGGGAGTTATATGTGACATGTTATATAATTTATTGAAAAGTTTAATTTTAGATGTAAATATAGAGAATTTCAGGCCTATTAGCTAAGAGTTTGTTGTATAATTTGAAAAGTTTGGTTGCGGATGTAATTATAGAAAGCTTTGGGGAGTTATATGTGACATGTTATATAATTTATTGAAAAGTTTAATTTTGGATGTAAATATAGAGAATTTCAGGCCTATTAGCTAAGGACAACCTGCAAGTGCAAAATTAAAGTTGATAAAGACTACATAAGCTGAGAGAAGAACGGCATAAGCCAATTAATTATATACAAAATAGAGCTCTGAACCTGAAAATATAGAATATAATCACAATTAAGGAAATAAAAGAATGCATTATAGTATGTCAAGTATATAACACCTAGCAACAAGTTTCAATTTACGTTCCATTTTCTGAGAATTCTCTGAACAAGTAAATAATACGATAGCTCATACCTAGTTAAAGATGTGTTGAACGCCACTTGACCAACTTGTTTCCTACAAGCACCAAATTTTTTTGCCCCGGCGTATATCATGGTAGCAATTTATGACCTGACCCATCAATCCAACCCGATCCAAACCATTTATAATGGGTATGGATTGAATTACATGGATCGGGTCATAAACAGGTCAACTCAGATTTACCCATTTATTAAACGGGTCAATTCGAGTTGACCCGACTGACACGTATTTACCTATTTATCAAACACCGACCCCTTAATCCTCCCGCATCAAATTATCCCTTAAAAAATCCCCAAATTTCCCCAGTATCTTCTCTGGTCTCCGATGGCTCCGAAGAGAATCAACAGCGGTAGAACCAAGGACACCTCGTCAACTCGCCGACGTAGTCCCGATGCTGACGCCATGATTGATGATATGCTCCGCGAAGCCAGCGGCCTCTAGAACGTCACAGGCGCCAAAGTCGACGTCGTCACCATCAAGCCTGACGGCGAGATCGTCCAATACGGTTGCCCCTCCGTCAACGTCGTGTTCGGCAGTTATCTCGGGGAGGCGAGCGCCGCCGTGCCTAGCGATCCGGATGTGATTGATCGGATAGTGAGGGGTTACATGGAGAAGAAGAGGGTGGAGGATTCTAGGTACGAAGAAGGATAGGAAGCTTAGGGACTTGAGATGGGAGCGTGAGATCTTGTAGACGTTGAGGGCGAGAGTCGCCGGCGACTGTGAACATGATTTGAGTTTTTCATTTGTCTTGGCCTCACATCTTTTGTTTAGTTTTATCTGTAGTGTGTATAAAAGTTAGAATTTTGCAGAAATGGCCTCCCTCCTGAGTGATTATTTTGATACTCCTGATAGTTGGTGTCTAATTGTAATTCCTTAGGATTTGGAATCTCTCTCTGTATACTAGGAATTGCAATTATGATTCTTCTTATAGCAATTTATGCAATTATAAGGCAAATTTGTTAAATAAAACTGGCGAAATATTATTTATTGAAGTGAGTTTTGATAAACGGGTCATTTGGCTTATATGGGTCGGATCGGTAACCCGTTTAATAAACGGGTCGGATCATATTGACCCATTTATTAAACGGGTCAGATCGGATCATACTTATATGGGTCGGGTCAACTATGACCCGACCCGACCCATTTGCCACCCCGCATATACAACCATCTTCAAGCACAAGCACAAGTCGAATATCTTTTTTTTCCCATGCCCTTTCTGTTGAGCTCGCATACAAATCAAATTGTAGAAGTATTATAATCCTTTGGTTCAACTGTTCAAGGAATAATTTTCTACCTTTACTACGTATAGCTACATCTTACGGGTGAAACCTTAAAAAATAAAAAAGACAAATCTTTAATATACGAAATTAAAAATCAAAACATTTGATCATACAACTCATGCGAAGCTCCCAACCGACACCGTGACCTTCACGATCACCAAAAAATTTTCAAGAAATTAGGAACTGATACTGAGAGAGGAAGACTCCTCCGACTTTCTTTTTAACTCTATACACATATTATTTATTAATTTGGAGATAATGAGAGTTGAGCAGTCTAATTGTGAATGAGTTTGAGAGACCAATTTTTATTCTGCTTCTACATTTAATTGAAATCAATTTTTTATTTTATTTCTACATATTTTATAATGATAGATGCTAATTTTCTTTTTCTAGTTATTAGAAATTAGGATAGGATTAGGTAGAATACTATATCAAATATTTTGTGCTATCAACCTGCTGAAAATTTTTGAAAATTTCAGCAGTCTATTTTAACTTTCTAGCCAAAAGAAAATTATAAGACGTCAAATATCCAAAACGTGAACTTTAATTTAAAAAAAAAATATGAAAATTGGCATGCTGCTTTATAAATTTCTTTCTCTAAACTAACTAAAAAATTCTTCAGCGGATATATGCACGCAACAGATATCGTATAGGCATATTCTTTTTAAGACATGAGATGGGAGCTAGCGATAGATTTGATCTATTATAACAAGTCAAGTAGGGGTGTCCAAAAAACCGGCCCAGCCCGGCCCGGGGTTGGCCCGAAAACTCGGGCCAGACCCGGGTCCGGGTCCGGGTCCGGGCAATCTATTTTAGACAAATATACCCCTTTATAGTTTGAACTATCTTATCTATAATCAAATTCTAATTTTTAATGGTCAATATTTCCCTTCACTATTTTGAATATTTTATTTATATCTTCATCTATCCTAATCATAATCATATCTTATCCTAATCCTATGTGAACCACGTTTAGCTTAATAATTTAAAAAACTAATATTAATAAAATATATAAAATATAAAAATGATATTAGTTTGTTAAGATAAAGAAATTACAAGTAGATAACATATTATAATACATGAAGTATTGCAAAAAAACCATAAAAAGTTTTAAAATTACAGAAAAGACCCTGAAAAGTTTAAAATTATAAAAATCATCCTAATGTCTCAAAACTTAAAATAAAAAATATGAAATTAAAAAATTAACATCAGTTTGTAAAGAATTTAAAATTTACAGTTAACACCTCAATGTCTCAAAAATTATAGAAACACCCTCAAAAGTTTAAATTACAGACAAGCACATTAAAATTCTAAAATTTTAAGACTTACAAACAACACAGATGAATTCAAGAGATTACCATGATACACCTAAAAATTTTAATATTTAAATTTAAATTTTTTAATTAACACCCTCAATATCTCAAAAATTATAGAAACACCTTCAAAAGTTCAAATTATAAAAAGCCACCCTAAAATTCTAAAATTTGTAAATAACATAAGATAAATTCAAGATATTACCCTTAGACACCTAAAAATTAAAATTTGCCGAAATTAACCTCAAAATTTTTAAAAAACTCCTTCAAAATTTAAAAATTATAAAAAAACTCTAAATTTTCAAAATTTTTAACTAGCACACATCAAATTCGTCGATTGGTAGACCGCTGAAATTTAATATTTTTCAAAATTAATCTATAGTTTTAATAATTACAAAAGACACCCTAAAAATTTTTGAGTTACAAGAAATATACTAACATTTAAAAAATTACCACCAACACATGAAACATAGAATTTACAATACCAAACTTAAAAATAATTTTTTTAAAAACTCTTTCAAAATTTTAAAAATTACAAATCACACCTTCAAAGTTCAAAACCATAAAAATGGGCTAAAATTTTAAAACTTAGCAAAGAAAAGTGTAATTGTTTGGTATTTTTCATATATATATATATATATATATATAATTTAGGGATTTACTATCCATTTTCAGCATCTAAGAATAGTCTAAGTTGATACTGGTAAACAAAAACAATA